AAAAATAATAATAAAAATAAAAAACAGAGAAGAGCTACAAGGCTAATAAATTTTGATAGTGATCAAACCAAGATCTATTTCCATAAGAAGAGAATAAACCAACAACAAGGATCACTTCCTCCATGTTAATTTTTAACATCTTTTAAAGCTTGGCCAACCAAGGGGCATTCTACCAGTTCAATTCAATGACACCATACATTAGCTAAACACACCCACAATAGGAATTGTGAGATAACAATATTAGAAAAAAAGGGGAAAAAAACGTAACATTTCTCTGCACCACCTATTTTCCCCAGAACGTAAATGAAACACACAAAATTAGTAGAAGAGGAGCTCAAACAATGTGCAAGGATAGAGTATACAATAATTTAATTCTTAAGACATGCAATCTCAATTAGTCTCTCTAGAAATACACATTAGAGTGCTTCCATATAGGTAACCGATTATTGGAAAAATTTATCAAAAAACTCTCACTCATTTCCCCCTTCCCCTTTCATCCATTTAATGACTTACTTTTGTCCATTCAACCAACTGATAAATATTCATTTTCATAAGTCCATCTTCACCTTAACCTACTTTAAGGCACTAAATCTTAGCTGGATTTTTCATGTTTATATTGAAACATCAACCATATTTTTGAATTATAAGCTAGCAATTTCTTTTGCATGGCAGTTTCTATTAAAGGAAAAATAAATAAATTCTTTCAGACAGCAAGTACTCATCATATTTTGTGCAAAAGAGACTGATGACCAGTAAGCTTAACTTGAACACCCACGTCCAAAAACATTGGAAAACCCAAGACGGCTTCTTTCCTATCTGACTGAATGAAAAATCATTCATAATACCATAACCAATCTCTTCAGTATTAAATTTCGATTTCGCCATGTTCAAGTTAACAAAAAATTGCATAGCAAGTTCTAATAGGAATTTTAACAAACATCTTATGGGCACTAAAGGAATCAACCAACAACCACTAATTAAAACACATTTCAACAATCAACAACTAGTATACCGCAGAAAAAGCAAAAACGGCTCCCGTAACACATAAAACATTTGAAAATTTTAAGCTGAATTTGAGAAATTAACAGTGATTTTGGGTTCAGTAGCGTACCAGATTGGAGCCGAAAACGAGAAGGCGGCGCCGGAGGAAAGAAGGAAGGCCGGAAAAGATGAAGAAGTTGGGCTATACAATTGAGGGAAGTCCAAATAAACCCACAGTTCTAGCCTTCGAGCTTCTAGGTACACAAATGACCTCCAAAACCCATTCCTAGAGCTAAAACCTAAAAGCCTAAAACCTTGTCACCCGTATTTAATTGGGCTTAAGCCCAAAAAAGCAACAAACTTTTTTTTTTTTTTTGAACAATTTTGACATTATTTACGGGTATACATGGGGGGAGGGGGAAAAAATGAGTTCCATGGGCTCGAGCACGCCACCCACGGAGATGAACAGCCCTAACTCAGGGTCCAGTGCCACTTGGCCGAAATAGGTCATTCAAAAAAAGCAACTAACTTTAAAACAAAAAGGCTGAAAAAAAAAAGCATTGTTACTTAGGGTTGAGCATTGAGTATGAGTATATCTGATATTTACAGGTATCTAACTTATTTAAATAGATATTTTACT